TTACTGACTACAGCTTCTGCCTCTATAGCTTCCTGGGTTCCTTTTCACATCCTTTCCTGTGAAGCACACACATGGGGCCATGCGGTCACTGTACCCAGGAAGCCCTTCGTTCTTTCCAGCATCAGCGACAATGCTGGTATGTAAGAGTCCTTTTATTGAAAGCTGTTCAATAGCCCTCCACAGCCCTCTCTTCACGAGTGCTGACATGTGCATCTGATGTGTGCACAGTAGGTTGGCGCCTCTCTTCGTTCTACCCCCACCATTTCATGAGTCCACACCGTGCTACCACATCATACATCATTAGCAGGATACCTTGTGCAGAACTGGTTATTTTCTCTTCTGGGTTAATAGCACCTTCACTAGAACTGAGTCTTGGATAGCATGGCTGTTTTTGTAAACAAATGTTTTGCATTGAGTTTCCACAACAAATGGATTTTACTAGAAATACCAGATTTCAGAGATACTGAAGTGTGCCTGTCATACAGTGGTAAATAGATAAACATCATGCTGAATAATGTTGTAATGTGTAAATCTTGTGCATAACTTCATGCCAAAGTCAAAGCAGGAGAAGGAAACTAGGATATAAGAGAAAGCTTAGGAAAGTATAGGATATAAGAGAAAGTTTATTCTTCCGGAATATTCTAGAGGGGACATTTAGATGTTTAAACATCTTATTGCCTTCAGAAGTGATTTTCCTTCATTAGTACTCAGCTATATACTCTCTTTGGAGTGATTGCATTAAAATGATTCCCCCAAAAATAAAGGGTAAAGAAGTCTTGGCAATAAGAATAAGTTAGAAAAGTATATACAAATTATTATTCAAAAATAATGGCTAATCAAGTCACACTGATTCAGAAGTAGGCTAAGTGTTAAGCTTTTAAGAAGTATCTGTTTTAATGAAATCTTACCTCTTCCATTTTGTCTCAAATCTGTGTCCATTTTTCAAAGGTTATAGTTTTTCAACTCTCCTCTTTGTAGTTAATAAATCCACTTGTTTTGAAAGGTCCATATCAAGACCTGGTTGCCTAAACTTTATTTTTTTATCAGGGATACTAAAATGTATCATGTTTTCTGATTCAAAAAGATACCTACACCCCCATGTTTATTGCTGCTTTATTTACAACTAGAAAATCATGGAAGCAGCCCAAATGCCCAAAAGTAGATGACTGGATTAAAAAGATGTGGTACATATACACAATGGAATATTACTCAGCAACCAAAAAAAATAGAAACATGTCTTTTGCAGCAACTTGGATGGAGCTGGAAAAGATCAAAAGATCATGCTTAGTGAGATAAGCCAGAAAGAGAAAGAAAAATACCAGATGGTTTCACTCATAGCAGGAGTATAATGGACCAGGCGAGAAAATAACAAGAATAATGAACAGCCATATACCAGAGACATTTTGTGGGGGTAGAGTGGGGAATGGGATCAAAAACGGGGGGGTGGGGAGGGAAGTGCTTGGGACTATGGTGATGGCACACGGGTGACTCGGTGATGGGAAACCCACGGGGATTACAATTGAGATTTTTAAAAAATGTACAAAATGATGTAAAAATAAACTATTATATTATAAAGAAAAAAAATGTATCGTGTTTTGAGCCTCATCTAGAATTCTTATTTGTGATCCCTTTTGAAAGGCTTGGCTCCCATACTGTCTTCTCTGGGCAAGTGTGAATTTCTTCCTGGCTTTACTTCTGCTTCCTTGAAGAAAAATTCGGATTAGCAGAGTTACATTTAATCCTCTCTTTACCCCCGGCAGTTTAGCTTTAACCTCTCTCTTTCTTAATTCTGATTAGATTTTGTATTACACAGTCCTTTTTGATTGGGTGTGGGCTTCAGCCCATCTTATTGGTTCGTGTTCTCAAGCACTGGCTCTCGATCGGATTCATTCATGTACAATTCTGTTTCAGTTTCCTAAGCCACCTTCATGCAGATGCTGTATCTATAGAGCAATAGTTGCTGACTTTTCAGACCTACCCTAGGGAAAAGCATTACAAGACACCGCTATAAACCACAGTACTTCTGTGTATGGTAAAGAACAACCACGAGGGACACTTTACAATGTGATTTCAGATGAGTATTAAATATAATAATGCTCTCAAAATTCAAATACATTTTGCAAATGAAAGAAGTTCCTTTGTTTAATCTACCTAAAGACTCCTGAGCATGGTGGTCTCAGAACAATGGGAAGGTATGGAGGATTCATTATCTTGGGCCTGTGGTTTGGGCAAATAGGCCATTTCTCATTTCTCAAATGAGAGCCATTTTTCATTTACTTAATGAAAGGGTTTGAATAAATTAATGGTTTCTAAACTGTGTCCAAGCCTTGGAAGTTGATGGGAAGGTTAAGTGGAGAGTAGGACTTCCTAGAATGTTCAGCTTTCAACTCTTAAATATATTGAGTTCCCTCCAAGGGGATTGCAACTGAGATAGAAAAATGCACAAAAATATGTAAAAATAAACTATTATAAAATAAAAAAAATATTGGGTTCCTTCAAGTTTAATTTGAAAGGAATTTTGCTGTACTTTTATTTCTTTGATTTTTTTAAAAAGATTTATTTATTTATACCTACAGAACTGGGGTAGAGGCCAGAGATACAGTAGATGAGAGGATTCACCAGAGACAGAGCGGGGAGAAGAACAGGCAGATTAAGTGAAACACACTGCTGAGGGAGCAGTGGGCAGTAGGCAGGTCAGGAGAGGTCTGCTGCGCCATGTGGGTCAGCTCCCTGACTAGGGGTGGAATTCGTACTGCAGTGGCTACAGATAACGTCATTGTGCTGTGCTCTAACCTGTTGCACAACTAGGGAGGGCCCCACAGTATTTTTTTTTTTTTTTAAGATTTATTTATTCATAATAACTTGGATACAAGCCAGAGATGCGGAGGGCGAGAGACAGAGTGGGGAGCAGAACAGGCAGATTGACAAAGTACACTGCTGAGGGGAGCAGCGGGTGGGTCAGGAGAGGTCTGCCACGCCATGTGGTCACCTCCGGGGCAGGCGGGAATCAAACTCATGCGGAAGTGGCTTTAGCTTCTTAGTGCTGTGCTTTAATCCACTGCGCCACCAGGGAGGGCCTCCCCCAATTTTTTTTTAAAGATTTATTTATTTATGCATACAGAACTGGGGTACAAGCCAGAGATGCGGAAGGTGAGAGGGTTCACCAGAGACAGAGTAGGGAGCAGAACAGGCAGATCGACGAAGTACACTGCTGAGGACGGGCAGGAGAGGTCTGCTGCGCCATGTGGATCTCCTCCGGGGCAGGCGGGAATCAAACTCATGCGGAAGTGGCTTTAGCTTCTTAGTGCTGTGCTTTAATCCACTGCGCCACCAGGGAGGGCCTCCCCCAATTTTTTTTTAAAGATTTATTTATTTATGCATACAGAACTGGGGTACAAGCCAGAGATGCGGAAGGTGAGAGGGTTCACCAGAGACAGAGTAGGGAGCAGAACAGGCAGATCGACGAAGTACACTGCTGAGGACGGGCAGGAGAGGTCTGCTGCGCCATGTGGATCTCCTCCGGGGCAGGCGGGGATTGAACTCATGGGGAAGTGGCTTTAGCTTCTCAGTGCTGTTCTTTAACCTGCTGCGCCACCAGGGAGGGCCGAACCAGTACAATTTTTATAAATTGAGGTTGGCTAGAATGGAAAAGCTCCAACTGTTTGCCTAGTTGAAAGGAGATAAATGCCATCTATCTCTGTAATTACACTAACAAAAGGAGGAAGGGTAACATCCCAGCAAACCCCAAACAAGCAAACAAATCCAAGGGCCCTTTCACTGTAAATACTCAGCACAGTGTTCTTGCCCCTGTGGAGATGGTGAGGGAGAGGTTGTTGGGAACCTGGGCTCCCTAAACTCTGCTCATTAAGGTTATGTCATGAGTAATGTGTTTATTTTACAGGACAAAATAGGACTTGCTGTGTTGTTCTCTAGATGTTGGTCTCCTTCAGTTTAGTTTTTAAATTTCTTCTGGTTTTTGAAAGTATTCATAGATTTAGGAAAGTTTTAAGTAATGTGTCAACCCTCTCCCCCCAGTTAGCATATCGAAACATTCACATTTCATTCTATTTGAATCTTTTGTTCTCATAGAGATCTGAATTTGTTTTAAGCAAATCCCTCCACAAGCTTCCCAGCCTTGAAAATTCAACTAAAAGAGAAGCACAAGGAGAAGGTTTATATACCGGTGCTGTGCTGGAACCCGTTGCGCCACCAGGGAGGTGGGATGTGCCAGAACTGGACCCTGTCATTCCAAATTTCTTGGAGCAGAGAAGGGTAGAGGGAGATGGCGCCAGTCCTCAAATCGTGTGATGTGGTTTTCACCTGATAGAGAGATGCTAGACAGACCCCAGGAGACCACGTGTGGGTTTGCTTGGAAGTTCAATGGAATCTTGTTAGCGTTGAATTTTAACCAGCTACCTGCCTGGACCTCATTTATATGTTACTTCAACTCCATGCTTGGAATCTGTGGACACCCAGGCCCTCATTGCCTGGATGACATCTTGGTGTGGAAAAGTGAGTGATTAATACATTCTAGTGGAATAAGGAAGTGCATGAATGCATAGCTGATCAGTTTGATGGTGTCATTACCCACCATTTCTGCTCCAGAAATGATGTTTTATCGTAACACAGCTGCATTGTACAGCCCATTCCCCTGAGTGGCCTACCTAGAGTTTCGGAATGCATAACCTTGAAATTCTTTTGTTTCATTCCCAGATTATGGAAAAGAAGGCCCTAACCACATTCATCGAAGATGTTAATTATAGTCTTTGTTGTGTATGTTCTTCCTTCTGTGAAACCTTGGCTCCCTCAGAATAGAGAAATCTCACTAAATTGAGTCATGGGGAGTACATCTGTTTCTAACCTTCACTGGGCTCCTCTGACTTGCAAGTGAACCAGGAGAGGTTCTTGGTCTCCCCACTTCTGCTACTTTAGCAAGTCCTATATCATTTGCTTTCCCTTAAGTAAGGTTTGTGCTTCTACCTCTCCATTTCCTTTCACAGGCCATGCAAGATGCTCTGGCAGACCTTCCAGAATGGTATGGAATAAAAGGCATGCAGGCCCACTGGATCGGGGACTGTGTGGGCTGCCATCTGGACTTCACACTGAAGGTGACCACACGATACCATCTCCAGCACTGATGCTCACAATCCCCCTTCTGCATTTTTAGAATTCATCCAGAATTTAGAGTGCATCAGCAGTGTGGGGCCATATGGTCAATGTCCAGCAGAAAGAGTCAAACTTTCTAGTTAGCCATGACACTAGCCACATTTTCAGTGCTCAACAGCCACCTCTCGCTACCAACCTCTACATTGGACAACAAAAAATTGAGGGTCCTCCAGGGATCTGTGAACTCTGTGAAGTTGCGTGTCTGTGCGAGCACTTTTTTGAGCATTGGTCCAAATGAATTCTCAAGGGGGTTCATGTCTGAAAAGAGTTTAACATCTAAGGAAGGAGCAACCTATTGCATTATCATTTCAGAAATACACACTTAAAACTGTTGAGAACCCTGTGCTCACCCAGGGCTCAAAAGAGGTGCTCTGCTGGGGACACTGTTGGAAAGACCACCCCTGAGCCCTGTTCTGGAGGAGGCCCTCAGACGCTTCTTCTGCACTACCAAGTGGTTCTATAGCCACTTCCTACCTGGCTGGTCTTTTTTCTTATTTTTTCAGTTTCAAAAGTAGTGTTTCTGTGTAATGACAAGTGATAACCTGGTGAACTACCAAATTTTTAAAGCTGAGGAAAACCTTATACACATCACAAAAATGTTTTTTAATAGCGTAAGTGTTAAGTTAATCATCTGATATGATGCAAGTTCCTTTTTACCCTTTGATTTCTCCTTCTCCGATCCTGATTTTCATGCACTATTCACTTAGCTCCAGACCTACCCACCTGTGTCCCAGTCAAAACCTTTGGAGGAAGTGGCAGCAAGGAGCCACGCTGACTTGCCTTTTAAGACTCTCTCCTCCTGACAGTCGCCTTGGCGTCCACTGACCCCTGCCCTTGCCGCTGGGTTCACGTTGCCTGTGCCATCTTCTCACCAAAGTGATCCGACTCATTCCAGCTGCACGCGTGGGAGCGTACTCCCCACCCCCATACGAGAGTTTGTAGGAAAATGATTGGAGAACAAATCCTGAACAAGCTTTTTTCTTGCCACTTCTCAGACAAGGGGGTGAGATGGCTGGTCATTCCAGCTGTGACTTTTGCTCAGTCTCCCAGGACCATGGGCCCTGGGGGGTCTTATGCATAGACAGGTCTGGTCCCTGTGTCAAAAGTCTCTCCTTGACCAGTCACATGGCTGCGCTCATGGGCTATCTTCCACATTGTCTCCCTTGCCCAACATTTTATTATGCAAAGGCTTTCATCTCCATTCCTAGATCCTCCTAAAAATGTGATGTCATAAGGGAGGAAACCCTCTCAGTCCCACAGGGAAGAGTTGTGCTTCCGTGGCCCACATCTGACTGCCTGGGTGACACCTAACTGGCGCTCAGGACACAGTGCGGCCCGTCTCTTGGCTGCAGGCCCAAGTGCTTCACGCTTCACTGGTGCCCTGTGAACGCGTCTAAGCACGTGATGAAGGCGTGCCAGGCCTCTCCGTGCCCTCTGTGTCTGTCACGCAGCTGGCATTCAGGGGAAGCCAAATACGTTCCTCTTCCTTGAAAAGCATTTAGCCGGCCCACGGAAAGCTCACTCGCGACGTGAGCACACCTCAGCCCGCCCTGTCTCGCCTCTTCAGTGGCATCAGTCTCACTGACTGTTTCTGATCAGAGAAGTAGACACCTTTACTTCTTTTTACAACATTCTTAAACCCTGCAGGAAAGCATAGCTCCTTTCTCAGGACAGAAACAAGACAACTGTGATGATAATGTTTGAGTCATCAGCAAAGAAGCCAGGGAAAACTCGGAAATTTCTGAGTTTGCTTGGCCACTTTCCACTTTGGGGCCCCAAGCAGCCCTGGTGCCAGCCAGTAGGGTTCTAGAAGAGGAATGGCCGTCTCCTCACTGCTGGCCTTTCTGCCTCTGCCAGTCACCATCTCAGGCCCCCACAACCTTAGGCCCATTCGGAGAAGCTATTCCCCACTATTTGGGATGGAGGGAGGGAGGAAGAAAGGGCTGTAGTGAAGATGACTGAGAATGAAAGACTCTGCTTTTCTCCTGTCAGGTTGATGGACAAGTCACAGGAGAAAAGCTGAGCGCCTACACGGCCACCCCGGAGGCCATTTATGGCACTTCCCACGTGGCCATCTCTCCCAGCCACAGACTCTTACATGGGCACAGCTCGCTGAAGGAAACTCTCCGGAAGGCACTGGTCCCTGGCCGAGGTGAGTTGGCCGATGAAGGCTGCAGCCCAGGGATGTGTGTATCTCCCTAGACAGTACTTCAGAGTCCTCTTGTGTGTGTCACCATATGTCCCTTGTCCTTCCCCTTGGCCCGCCTTTTTAATTTTCTGTATTTTTAAAACATGAAGATAAAAAAAAAAAGAGCTTTTGAAAATGTTAAGTTACTTGTCCCTGGTTTCACTCTGAGTCACTAATGTGTCAGTATCTTAAGTATCTGGCAGAAAACTCAACTCTTTCCCATTAAATATAATTGAGATTTAAAGCTTTTTTCTGATAAGAATAGAACCTTCTGTCTAATTTATAATTCCATCATTAAGTAAAACTATACTCTCAGGGACAGGAAGGAAGTCAGTGAAAATTAGAGAAAACAGTTGCAAAAACTTAATTTTATGACTTGAAAGAATTCACATGGTAATCTGAGCAGACAGAGGCCTGCCCAGCACAAGTCTCTAATAAGTGGGTCCAGTTGACTTGGAACTATGTGACATAGCCGGTGTTACTGGACTGTGGGGACCCGGGCGGTGCCTGTGCATTGGCCAGGGGGTCTGTATAACAGAACCCATCCCTGGCCACCCCAGAGGTGAAGTAGAACATATTGGAAGGCTGCAGGAAATAGAAGAACAGCTAAGGAAGTTTTGAATCAGCTGGTGGATTGACAGCGGCGCCCTGCCCTCACCTCACCCTCAGGAGTGGGGCATCTGTTTTGAGGGTCCTGTTGTAGGGAGAGGTCTCTAACTGGGGCCTCTGACCTATTTGTTGGTTGAGGGAAGGTCAGACACCTTCCTTGATAGGCCACCAGGTGCACCAGTGAGAAAGGTGTAAGTCTCCAAAGCAAAGGAGGCTTTGCCAGAGGAATGTGATACGGATCTCGAGCAGGCAAAAGGAAGTCCCCAGTTGACTGAAAGTAGATCTGTGGAGAAATACCAATATTTATATAAGAATTGCATCCCTATTCTTTTGTCATATAAACTATAAACTTCTACCCAAAGCACTGAATCTGAATTTTTTGGGGGAGGGTGGGGGGAGTGTATTTTTTTAAACATCCATTCTTTTTGTTTGTTTTTTAATTATTATTTTGGATGCTTTTAAAAAGAGCCATTCTTCAAAATAACAATGAAATGAGGGATTCTGATACCAGGTTGGATAGATACACGGCATCTTCTCGACTTAACTCTGCTTATGACTTCTAACTATTTCCTTCCAACATGACAGCCAGTGCCCCAGGCCACACGCACTCACCGAGGGCCGGCGCTGCCCAGATGCGCAGACGCCCCACTCCCCACGCCGCCTGACCACTGTCCAGAGATGCCAGATGCCTGTTGCCCGCCCCGGCCCCAGGCACACATCACTCTGCTTCATCTTTCTTGTTGTAATATATTGAAATGGGGAAGGCTCTTTTGAGCTAAATTTTCTTTCTTTCTTTTTTAAAGATTTATTTATTTATGCATACAGAACTGGGGTACAGCCAGAGGCACAGGGGCAGTGAGAGGATTCACTAGAGACAGAGCGGGGAGCAGAACAGGCAGATCGACAAAGTACACTGCTGAGTGGAGCAGCGGGCGGGTTGGGACAGGTCTGCTGCGCCATGTGGGTCACCTCCAGGGCTGGGGATTGAACCCACCCTGAAGCGGCTACGGCTGGCTTGCAGTGCTGCGCTTTAATCTGCTGCACCACCAGGGAGGGCCCGCATTTATAAAGTTAGCTACTTATTCAAAAGAAAAATTAATTCTTTCCAACTCTTTGGTTTAGAGGGGAGACTCATCATTTTTACTCTCGGGAGCATTTTGAGGCTTCTTGAAGGTTGTGGTGGTTGAATAATATTTAAAAATAAGAAACTAAAAAAATATATACATCTAGCCCTTGGATTTTTTTTTTCCTTGTTGTTAATTTGGGGACACAAATTAAAACGAGGTACCATTAGCTTGGGACTAGTGAGCCAAGAAATTGTAAAAGATGGCACTCCTGACTTGAAAGGTACAATATACATTTGGAACATTTTGTATGTAAGAACTTATTTGTACATATGCAGAAAGCAGTTTTCCTGCCCCCTGGGGTGTCGACACATCTGCCTTGGCCTGGTCATTTCATTGTGGCCCTGACAGCTCATTAGCCCATCCTCTCTTCAGCAGTCTTTGAAACAGTTTCGAATAGAACATCACACCAGGTCCTAAGTCTTGCAATTCTCATTTCAGAGTGGAAATATTCTTTTTGCAGATGTCAGTCTATTCAAGTCTCTCAATTAATTTGCACATCAAGTCTGAATTTTGACTTGTGACATTAGTCACGGAAGACAAGGAAGTACTTCGAATGTAATGCAATTTCTTTGCCCAAAGGTGAATTAAAGTTTCCATACCACCATGGGGTTGTGCTCCTCTGGCTTTGAGGTTACTCTTTTAACTGGTAGCCTGTGACTGTTGTCTTTCACCATCGCCAACTGGCTCCTATCAGGAAAGCGGCTTGGTTTATCCTAGAATGGCAGGTTTGGGGGTGACAGAGCAAAACAGTAGCCACTGCAAGTCATGGCTACATAGCTGCAACTGAATGTATCGCTTGCAGGAATTCAGGTTCCCAAACATGAGTTCCTGCAGTTGCTAAGTTGGTTTCTGCACATCAGCTTCTTAGTTGCCCAAGGTCATCAGGGTGCTGATCCAAGGTCCAGCATGTGATGTAAATCTCTTAGTGGGCATGGCTGAAGGGCTTTGTGTGGATTGTCCCCATGGGGTGAGATGGAGGAAGGGGACACACTGGCCAGGGTGACACTTGCATGGCAAAGTGAAGGCCGGCAGATCGTGTACCCCATCACTTTAGGCGCCCGTCGGTGACATCCACAGAGGAGTGGCGATCAGAGTGGAGGGGACAGCGGAGCAGCCTCAGCCAGACACGGACACAGGGCGAGCGGGCAGAGGCTCCCGGGCAGTTCCTGGCTCTGCCTTGGCGGGCTCCGTTGCTGATGTTGTTGACTAAATGAACTGTTTTCTGCCTCATATGCTTTCATTTAAGAGAGCAAAAGGCTTCCTTATAGAATTCTTGAAATGGAGTTTCCTTCCCTAACCATGGAAGTCCCTCCTTTTTCCAGCTGACCACCTCTGAATTAGCCCTGTAGTAAGCTCTGACTTAATAGGAACTAAAAGCCAGAAAACAACATCATTAGGGAAATTTGAATTCTAGAAGCTGTTCTGTCTTCTCCTGGAGTCCTTCCTTAACATTCTTCCTATTAAAATATTCAAACCCTGGTGTTTTGGAACCACTCAGCTCTGAATCACCACTGGTCTCCCAGCAATGCATTTTTTGCCGAAAGGGTAAATGAGGTCTCTTTAAAGGGGAACTTAGAACCCTGTTGTTGTTAACACATTAGAGAGCAAGAGTCTTATCTCCCTAGATGCCCCCAGAACATTAAGTGGATTAATTGCTCATTATTGCTTTTCTCCATTTCCATACTATCAGCATGGTTGGGACAAAAGGATGAGGAAGAGAATTGTAATCCTGTCCAGAATAGTTTGTTCTCTAGCCAAACTCTGCTAGCAGCCTGTGGGCACCTGTTAATAGTTATTGTGTGCAGGGGAAAGCTGGCCCATAACCTGCAAAAGGAAAGGTAAGTGGGTTTTTCTTTTGCCTCTGGACTTAGAACCTGGCTGTGCTGATCCCCCCTACAACTGCCCAAGAGAGGGGGTTGCTCAGTGTTTTCCCTCTGGCTGACCACAGAGCCCTCGTAGAGGCTCTCTGAGTAGACTCCTGCACTGCTTGGCTGTCGGTGCTGAGCCAAGGCCACTTGCCATTTCCCCAGAGGGCATGCGATGGCTTATTTGCAGTAGGTGCTCTGAAAGCTGATGCCACCTTGTCCTTTCTGAAAGGATGAGCTTTGTGTAATCTCTGTGAAATGCATGGAGAGTTCTCTGTCACCTCCTTGGATTCTTGCTTCACCAGCACTTGACACTCGAGAAATGGGGAGAACTTACATCTGGTCAGAAACTTCAGATTTTAGTCTGTTCTTTCAAAGTACAGAATGCTAGTTTGGCCAGGTACAGAATGCTAGTTCCTACTATGCCTTCATTCAAACCTGCTATATTTAAGTTCAAAGACTAATTTTGTAAATTTTTTGAGTATAAATTATAGTTCACGCATTTAAAGTGTAGCAAAATCCAATTTATCTTTTTTTCCCGATGCTTCTGCTTTTTGTATGTTTTTTTAAAGATTTATTTATTTCTGCATACAAGACTGGAGTACAGGCCAGAGGTGCGGGAGAGGAGGGTTGAAGGGATTCACCAGAGAGATTGAGGGTAACACAGGCAGGTGGACTGAAACACACTGCTGAGGGGAGCAGCGGGCAGGACAAGAGCGGTCTGCCACGCCATGTGGGTTACCTCCCTGGCTGGGGATCGAACTGACTTCACTCTTTCACATGTGATCACATTAATTTTTAATTATGTTCCCCCATATTTGTACCGTAAAGACCATACTGTTTCTGTCTTTATTTTCTGGCTTTCACTTAATACAATGTCAGAAAATTCTTTGTTTTTATGCAAACTTCACATCAACTCACTATACTAGGGATCCTGAATCTTCCCCATCATGTTGAACATTTGCTACTGTGGAGATGTCTGCTATAAACATTTTTGCCTCAATAAACCTACTTCTTTAGGATATATTCTTGAGTGTGGGATATCTTTGGCAGAGGTTATGAACATTTTTCTAGGTCCTATTGCATATTTCTTTTTTACTAGCTTTGGAAAGGGCTAAATCAGTTTACAGTGCCCCATCCAGCCATAGGTAGACTTTAGTATAACTTCACAGATGTTGATGTTATCCTTCTAAAAGTTTTTTTGCTAACTTAATGAAATAAGAGTGAGTTCAAGATTACTATAGTTACCATCTCTTTTGAAAATTTTATCCATGTTTTTTAAAACCCCAGTGATTAAAAGAAAATAAAACCTCGTCCTGAAAATAAATAAATAAAATCCCAGTGATAGATGTGTGATGCATGAAAAGTTAAGGCACGCTAACAACAGCAGCCTCCTTGCCCAACCACATTTAATTTTCTTGGGTATGAGTCCTCTAGGCTAAGTTTGGTAGCTATGACAGACCTAGGAAAACAGACACTAAAAGGGACAAAATTTTATTTCTTGCCCACATGAAGCTCTGAGTGGGGAGTTCAGGTCTGCTTGTAAGGCAGCCACGGCTAAGCTCCTTCTGTCTCGCCTTATCTGTGTGCTCTTCATCTGTGCTGCAGTCAGGGTGGCTCCGGCAAGGAGGGCGGAGCAGGGGGAGACAGAGAGGCACAGCAGGACCTAGGAGCTGTGAGGCCATGACCTCATGCCACACCACCGACAGGGAGGCCGAGCAGTGCCCAGCTAAGGGTCTTGTCGCTGGATCAGAAGCAAAGGCAGATATGGGCGACTGCTAGCTGCGCCGCAAGCTGTTCCCCGGGCACCGAGCCGCTGGGGTCTGCACTGTGTCTCCACGCCGTCTCCACTCACCCTGGCTAGGCATGACCTCCTGGTTTAACTGTCTCCACCAGTGCTCGCCTTCCATTGTCCCAGTATTACGGCACACTTTATGTCATAATTGCAGCATTCGCCAAGATGCACCACCTGCTCCTTGAGAAGAGACAGTATGGAATTAGGGCTCTGGGTCTCGGCTTTGAGAATGTCAGCACTTAGGCGGCTCTGCAGTAGGGGCTCCCCGCCACGGGCGCTGGCTGCGCCTCAGCTGTGGAGACCCCTGGGGGCGCTGTGCTGTCCCCACTCACCCTGTCCTGTGCTTCCTGTCAACCAAGGTTCAGCAAGATCAAGCCTGACTTGATGCCTGCAGAGCCTGGCTCTGCCCCTTTATTTTAAGGCCAAGGTGTGTACGACGTATTTTACATGATTACACGAAGTCTTAACACATGGCATGTAAAATAGTAAGAACTCAGAAATTATAACTGCTGTTAACTGCTTGTGCTGTCATAAAGCACACGCAGATTCGCGTTTCTCTCATCCTCGTGTTCTTCTTGGGGATTTTATTCGGGTCTTCCTTATTCTTTTCCTGCATATACTCAACGAAGATTCCTGAATGCAGGGCTTGTCTCCCTGCTACAGTCGTGGCAACAAGCTTTGTTGAAGATGTCATAGTGTTTAGCTAATTCCAAATTAATTGTTTTATTATGACACATAAATAAACTGAGCCAAGTATACTGTGACTCCATTTTGCTATAACTTTCTATTTTTGCCAGGGTTCACGATGACCTCATTTCTTTTCAGTGGCATTTTGTTCTATGACTTCCTGGCTTAAGATTCCCCATATCTTCCCAGAAGCAAAACTCCACTCAGTACAGTTTTCTGCATGTGCCAGCCTGCCTGCGAGATACTTGTCACTTCCTTCCTTTTACTAAAAACGCTGCCTGGGACCCTCTGCCACGCCCAGATGTGACCTGGTAGCTCCCCAGGCTTCACCTGCACTCTGTCTCTCAGCCCCACTCTGTCTTTGTCCTGGGGATGTCCTGTCCTTCCTCCTTTGTTCATCTGTTTCCTGAACCCCACACCTGTCTCCGAATTTACCCCTTCATTTTGCTGGAGGAAATTCTCCAGTGTTTCTTAAGAAAGGTACATGGGCAGGAACTGTCTTGGAATTTCTTCTCCACTCATTCATTCTCTACTCCCCCTTTCACTTCCATTTTCAAGTATTACAGTTTGGAATTTCAGATGTCCCCTACTTTCACCAAAGATAGATTTTTGTATTTCTGATTCTTCTGTATATTCGAGATATTTTTCAAAAGGAAAAGGGGATGACTTTCCTCCACTATCTGGAATGTGAAAATGGCTTTTTCACTTTTTTGATTATGAGCGTGGAGGGACATTTTTGTGTCTTTGCGTAAATCTTTGGTTTTTCTCAGCGGTGTAAATTATCTATTCATCCCATCAAAGAACACACTCTTGAACAATTAACACGAGCACCGAAGTTCTAATGCTTATTTTTCTCACTTGTTTCCTCTGAGAGCCAGACGGTGTTGGCTCTGGCTGACCGGCATCCACAGTTACTTGCTCTCATTTGCAGATTGCCGCACGCCCGTGATGGCTGTGAACATGCTCACCCAGCAGGAGATCCCTGTGGTGGTCATGGCTGAAGCTGACTTTGAAGGCTCTTTGGATTCAAAAATAGGTGAGCAGGCATTACAACTCGCTTGTTACTGGGCAGTGGGTTTCTACCTGATGTGAAGACTTTCTTTGCAAATTCAATTGGCAATTTTATCTGCAAATTGAATGGCAAAGAGGTAGGAAATAAACTCAAATCTATCTCTCTGATTAAGAAAGGAAATGAGGTTATGCAGGTTGGGGGGCCAGGCTCAGGAACAAAGGAGTTCAATTTTATTGACTGAAAAGCAGGTTAGGAGCAAAGGAAAGTGGACTTGGCTAAGTTTCTTGGCTAGTCACAGTGCATATCAGACGTGAGGAATGAGGAAGGGGCATTTCTTCAGATGAATGGGGCTTTTCTGTGCCCCTTGCCTTATTTTTTTTTTTCTGTCATTAATTTTAGTGTCACCATTTAGCCTCAGTTTCAGCATGAGGGTAATATATTTTGCAGCCTTAAGAGCACCCTCCTAGCCTCATCTGTTAACTGACAGAGCTGACCACTGAGTCCATGATCTGTGTAAAAATAAATGCCCCTTCATTTAATCCTCCCTTATTAAAAACCTGTGTCTTGAAAACATACCAAGTATATCATACCTTGCTCATTGCTATTGAGAATAATAAAAATTGCCTGGCCCACAGAGCCTGCCAGGAGAGCTAATTGCGAGACTCGTAGACATGGAAAGAGGAACAGGGCAACTCAGATGAAAATCCAGTTTCGGAACTCAGAATCAACAGCATGGTTGAGATGGGCTCCAAAGCTCAAGTGACAGGTGTGGGCTGGGTTTCTGGTGAAGGCTCTGCGGAGGCGGTGAACTTGGGAAGTTCAAGGAAAGCACCTTGAAACACAGTGAAATTAAAGGCATGTTTAGAACTATAAATTGGATGCCTTGGCAGCCTTATCACTCCTGAGAGTTCTAAACTAGCATCACCCAACAGAGTGTGGGGAGGGGCACAGCAGCCCTGTCCAAGTCTGCTCTTAGGACAGACCGGAGGTGTCTTCACAGCGTTCCTACTCCAGCCCATCTCCAAAGGGCCAAAACCCCGCAGAGAAGTTATTTCCATACACTATTTTCTAGTACATGGAAGAAATAGCGTGTCTTATCCAAATCATGTTTTTTCTCACAATTCTCAGGTCAGTTTTTGACAAAGTGACCTGGAGAAATGTCAGAACAGATATTTAGCCGTCAAGTCAGTCTCTTCTGACCATTGAAAACCTAAAAACTGGGTGGCTTAAAGGAATTTCTCCTATTGCTTTTATGCATGTTATAATTGGTAAAATTCCTTAGTACAACCAGCCAAGATAAAACAAAGGGAGTTCTCATATGGCTTTCTGCTTTCGTGTGTGTGGATTTTTTTGTCCAAATACTGACACAATATTGAGAGAGCTGAAAGAAAAAAAAAATCCGATTTTCTTGATGTGCATGGAAAATAATTTTTCTTGTTTTGATTTCCCATGATTATATAATTAACATTTGCTAAATCAATGCCTCTTGCACTCAAAGAAAACAGAAATAGAAATAAGCAAAAGATAAAGCGGTGTTTTTGTCCACCCTGCCTGCTTGACACTTATATTTCCCATTCTTCCACACCCACATGACCGGCACGATGGCCCAGAGCTTTTTTCATGTGGACACATAAATTCTGTGGTCACTTTGTCCTCACTGGGGCATACCTTCTCGCTCCCCCAGACCAGGCCCTTTTCCCTCCTGGACCTTGCATGCTTTCAGTAATATTTATTACCACTTGCCACGTGGCCCCTGCTCAGTGACCTTTTAGTTCATTCCAAACATTTATTTGCCTCACCAGATACTTTTTGTCAATAATCTCGGCCGGAACATGGCAGAACTTTCCATCTTACCAAGGGAACTACTTGTGCTCCAAACATTACCTTTGAGGGCAGCACCCTAGAGAGGTTGTTCATACACACCTGACTCAAGTTTTCTGTGTGTCAGTCACCCTTAGTTGAATGTCTCCCAGTTGCCACCGATGAGTGTGTTCAGGAAGGTGGCAATGTCTATAATAGATTCTGTGGCAGGTGTTCGCAACACCAATGCCAACTGGGCCACAAGGACGCACACATTTGGTGGTTTCAGAGGCATTTTCAATTGGCACAACTTAGGGGATGCTGCTGGTAGAGAGGAAGCAGGCAGCGTTTTCTGTGCACAGAGCCAGGGCATAAAAGTCAGCAGCGCTGAGGTGGAAAACTCCTGCTCTACAGAGCCAACAACTGAAAACCCTATTTTTGTCAATAGTGGAAGTCAGAACAGTAGGCCCTGGCCCGGTGGATGAGTGATTGACTTGTGCTCAGCTTCCTCTCAGGGCATATGTGGGTTTTAGAAACAGTGTGAATCAGAATGGGCTGTTGCCTTATGGGAACAAAGCAACATGCAAAGAAGCACTGGTGCCAGCTTTCCACCTTCTGGCTGAGTGGATTTTCCTAGGATGCTAGGAAGTGCTGCAGGAGTCAGTCCTACTTCTGAAAAGAACCCCTTTGTCTTTTCTCACTGAGATGCTTTCCCAAATGCTCATGTTGGCCAGCTCAGTGACAGTAGGCACCCCAAACTGTTATTTTTGAGTTACAACAATTTTTGAAGAGAAACTAAGCAAAGGAAAAAGGAAATAACACCAGTATTGTCCCAGGGTGGCGGGTTTTTCTAGGCCTGTTCTCTATTGTCACAGTGGATGTACATGGTTTCTTCTGTCTATGACTGAAAAAAGATAGGCTTTCCTTTAAGAAGCTAAAGCTGACTGTCACGGTTATTAGTTGTTTTGTGATTTGGGTACTTGCAAAGGAGACGTTTTGTGTTTCTTCCCCTCTGAATAGGAATTCCCAGCACCAGCCCAGAGGATGCCATTTTAGCCCAAACCTTGGGCCTGTCCTACTCTGAAGTCATTGAAACTTTGCCAGATGGTACAGAGGCACTGAGAGACTCTGCTGAGGTTGGTATCCCGTGGCATGGGCCTAAGAACAAATTCATGGCCTTGACATGAGTGTGATGAGCCATTTTCCTTATCTCCATACCTAACAGGGCTGCAGCCTCACTTTTTAATTTCTGAAAACAAACCATATTTCTTTCAAGATCTAGAAGTTTAATTACTCTGAGTTGAACTTAAGTCATCAAATTTTGTTTTGGGGAATCTTCTACTTAAGAAAATTACCTCTTCCAGGGATCGAACTCATGCTGCAGTGGCTGCCGATAGCTTCTTAGTACTGAGTCTTAACCTCTTGCCTACACCTCAGCTCTTGTATGCATAAATACATAAATTTTTAAAATAAGGAGAAAATTCCCTCTTTCAGGACAACTGATTCCCTGAGAGAATAACTTATACTGGCTGCTCTCCTGGAGGCCTCTGTCCTCCTTAGGTTACTTCTACCCAAGGTTTAACTCATAGAAATAAACAGAGAAGTGTGAGTGATGTTTATCTGGTCAGGTAATCTCTTGCTAGGTGGGCATACATGGCAGGATTTGAGTACAGCCTCGATGTTAACTATTATGATGACATTGTGGCGGAAGAATGAGGGGTGGGAAGGGAAGTAGGAGCTGGCTGAGAGCAAGGTCCCTTAAACTTGAGTGAACACATACTGGCAGCCTTGTTGAAACCCAGGTAGATACCTAGTGCCAGGGCTTCTGAGGCAGTCATCTCAGCTAGGACCCGAGAATTTAGTTCCAACAAGTTTCCAGGTGATAATGTTCCTGCTGTTGGTCCAGGCACCACATTTTAAGGATCACTGGCGTGGGCCCTTGCTATTCAAAGCCTAGTCCCTGGGGCGTCATTTGTTAGAAGGGGAATGTCAAATCCTACCCTAGTCTACTAAGATCCCTGTGTAACTCATATGCACATTGAACTTTGAGAATATTGATTTGTAGCACTCTCTTTAAAGCCTGACCTCACTTTGGAAACAACTGGAAAGTTTAAGAAAAAATGCTGATACCTGAGTATCACACTAGATACTCAGATTTAATGGCTATTTGGGGGCAATGGATGGGACATCTGGAGTGTTCAAAGTTCCCAAATGATTCTATTGTTCCTCCAAGTCAGGACACTATTAGCTTAACACTGTGATTGTCTACCTGACCATGCCTGAATGCCTGGGAGATGCTTTCTGGCCCACCTTGGGTGGTCCTTTTCATATAAAACTGGACATGAAGATCCAGGCTTTTCAGGTTTGGGACTACCTGGCTATAGGATGTTTTATGTGTGTATGGATTTATAAATATACATGTATGTGCACACATAGTGCACACACACACACAGTCACACACACAAAATAAGGATCTTGTTTTTTCCTGTGGAAGGAATGACATTTTCTGACCCCACGCTTGTGCCTCTGCTTCATAAATTGTATTCTTAGACATGAGTCATGCTCTAAGATATCAAACCTTAAATCTCTTTTTAGACCTTATTTGAGCTGGCTCCCTGGATATGAAGGAGAGCCAGCACTCGGTGTGTGTAGGGGAGCCCCAGATAACCCTCTATGGGGCATAAAACAGCACACTCCTCCCAAATCAGGGTCTGAAGTGCCAAGAGAAAATCCCCTTCTTGGTATAGGATTTAGCACTTATTAGTCAGTGTGTTGTAATATGGCCTTGGGTGGTTGACTCCTCTCCCACCTCTAGATTGGATGTCTGGAATAAAGCATCTTTCACGGATACAGAGGAGATGGATAGTGACAGACTGCTTTCACCCCTGAGCTTCTAGAATGTAAAGATCATGATGCAGGGCTTGTGATGATTTGCACCATGAGTCTCTGGTAGTTGTGCAGGATGCAGTGATGCCCCCCACCGGGGTGTGAGGTTCCCTTGTGGGGAGCGCCTTCCTTCCTCAGTGGAAAGGCTGCTGCTCACTCCATGTGCCTCGTGACTGTACCCCCCTTGAGGGCAGAGGGCAGGTCACGTTTATCGTGGTATCCCCAGGGCCAGCGCAGCCTGGCACAGAGGTGTGTAGTGTCCCTGCATCAACCCAATTCCAGGTTCCCAGGTCCTTAGGAGCCGCTCTGGCTTGATTCTTATTATTAGTTTGGTTTTCAGAAAGGCATTAGGTGAAAAGAGAATTTCTCCTTTCTATTTTAGTGTTCTGTCCTGCTCTCTCTAAAATGGGAGCATTTGGATACACAAGAAGTGGGTCTTGCCCTTCCCCGCTTGCCCGAATTCCCACTTCAGGGCGATGGGGGGTGTGTCGGGGACGGTCACTGCCATGCCGTTCTAAATGCCAACAATGGATTTCCCTGAGGTCTCACGGAGCTGGGTGGCAAGGGGAACCATGGAATCAGGACCTCAGGACACAGCGCCCGGCATAGTACCTTAAAGGGCTCCCAGAGCATTTTAATTTCTTTTAAAATCAGAGGGGGAAAAAAAAATGCACTTTTAGGGTCAAGCATTATAGTCTTCTTTATTAAGCAGGTATAAAATAGAACTGTTACTACTGCCTTGAGGAGGACGGAGCCCACAGAGGCACGGACACCGAGGGCTCGTGGCAGCCTGCAGAGAACCACTCGCAAAGTCCTGGTCGGGGCTGGGGCACGGGCGGCCGCTTGCTCTCGTGCTGGCGGAACGGGCACCTCTGTTCCCCTCTCAGTTCACAGGAATGAACCGGCAGGATGCCTTTCTGGCCCTGACTCAGAAGGCCCGGAGGAGCAGAGTGGGTGGAGACGTGACCAGTGATAAGCTCAAGGACTGGCTGATCTCACGGCAGCGGTACTGGGGCACGCCGATCCCCATGGTCCACTGCCCAGCCTGCGGCCCCGTGCCCGTGCCTCTGCCGGACCTGCCTGTCACCTTGCCCAGCATCACCTCCTTCACCGGCAAGGGCGGCTCCCCGCTGGGCATGGCTTCAGAATGGGTGAACTGCTCCTGTCCCAGGTAAGGAAGCAGCCGTGACCCTGCATGTGGCTACAGCACATGCTGGGGGGTCAGAGCCCCCCCCCCCCGGCGCTAACTCTGCCTCCCTTCCCTGGCCCCCACCGGCCTGAAAGAATACCAGAGGTCTTTAGGGCCCGAGAGTGAAGGGTCGAGAATCTGTGGCCCCGCCGCTGTGATTCGGCCCTCTCTCCTGTGCCGGTGGAAACAGCTGCATCGGTCCACATCTCTCCTGGGAACTTCTGAGCCAACTGATGAAGAGCTGCACTTTCTTGCATTTATATCCCAAAATGCTTCTTGGAGATGAGAGGAAATGTGCTCTCCTCTCAGCTTGCAGTTTTCCCATATAGTGACTGCAATAACAGCACAGATTTTATCACAAGTAGCAGCAGCGTCAGAGCTAACCACGAGTGTACTCAGCGGTTTTATTCTTCGATACACTGAAATGTACCACATTTCCTTCTGTCAATTCACTGGTGTATCTCAAATATGATTTTCTATGATGCTGTACTAGCTGATTAAACAAGTAAATAGCAGACACCAAATTCTAATATCTTCCTTCTTCCTCTATGGTGAAGTCATTTTTCTCTGCTTTCTAGACCATGCTGCAGATGGTTTAGTCTTCTGCCAGTATGAAGCTGGTGACTAGGTAACCGCCTCGTGCAGTTTCAAGGCTCGGACTGGGAGTCAGACCATAGATTCAAGTCCTGGCCCTACTTTTTTTTTTAATTTTACAAAAGTTTATTTTTACATCATTTTGTACATTTTTTTTCTTCTTTTTTTTCCATCTCAATTGTAATCCCCGCGGGCTGGCCCTACCTTTTAACGAGCTCTGTGGCCTTTGGGAAGTGACTTAATTTCTCTGAGATTTAGTTCCCTTATTGGGAAATAAAATACCCCGTTGGAGGAACTGTCACCCTGTACAGTGACATCTCCCGAACATTCAGTAAATGTTCTGTCGCTGCCCAGGACCTGGGACTTGCTGACCATCCTCCCAGGCCCTCCCCCAGGTGGCCCGAGGGTAGAGCTTGTAGTTAGGGAAGCTCAGGGTCGTTTTAGTGAGGACAACCGGCTTCAGGGCCAGGAGGAAGTAGCCTACCCTCTTGGCTGATAGGCAGTGACAAAGGGCTTCCCAGCCGGAGACACACTGGCCTTCGGTGACTAGAAAAGAGCTCTAGATAGTGGGGTAAAGTTCCTGCCTGACTGCGCATTCCTAGAGTGCAGATCCACAGCTTCATTGTTGGTCAAGACTCCCTGAATGAGCCGTGTGGCCAGGCAAGAAAGGACAGTGGTGAGGACCACAGGGCCCAGAGTTCAACAGATGTGGGCCTACTCTTGGGCTCCAAGACCTTGGGTAGACCTTCATGGCTCTGATCTCATCTGAAAAATGGGGTCATGAGTTGTACCTACCTCATAATCCCCCTGGTTCCTGGGGATTAAAATGAAACACATTCCGGGTATATCTGGCTCATGCCTGCACCCGGAGATAGTATTGCCACTGTTGGAGCTCATAATGGTGATGCCACTGTCTCCCTCCCACTTTCCAAGTGGCCTCTCCCATCCCTTCCGGCTTTTACTGTAAGCAGTACAGCATGTGCTTGATTTAAGTCCAATATGGACATTAAAAAGAAAATCAGCATGGCAAGCCTTTGCCAGATACTATTCTTTGTATCATTCGAGCTCTGCATTTTCTCCCTGACTTGTACAGGTTTGTACAAGTATATACTTGTACTAATGATGAGGCAGAAGATGTAACCTTTATCTTCTCATTATTCCTAAGTCGTATCTGTGTTCTGCTTAGTTGATCTCCAAGTGGAAAGCCCTGGCTTTACTCTAAAGATGCACTGTTGAGACTGGTGTCTTGCAGCAACCATTCGGTGGTAGGAACAGGACCCCTTCAAGCTCTCTCCTGTGCTCCTACCCCCAGGGCACACCGCTGCTCCTGGAGGGAGGCCCCTACGAGCTCCCTATCTGGGCCTCCTGTGCTCTCTGCAGGAGATGGGGAGTGGCTTTTGCCTTCAGTAAAAGCTGTGAAGCCAATCCGAACCACTTCCCAGATACACGATATAAATGCAACCCTTCTTTTACTTTTAGATTAAAACCAGACCGAAGTCCTTGCTTGCTAAATGAGCAGAAGATCCATCAGTTCCTGGGGCCTCTCGTGCTCCTTGAATTCTCCAAGAGCCCCTGTGGGCGGCTTTTAGTTGGGTGCTTAGTCCTGCTTCCCTGCCTCTCAAGGGAGAGGTCTGCGCTGCTTGCTGCTTCTGCTTCCCACTGCCCCCCAGGACTCCTGTTCACAGCTGGCTCTCCCCACTCAGTATGTGCCCTGAGGAGCGTTCTGGGGGGGCTGAGCTAGACTAAGAGCACTGCTACTTGGATTCCTAGCTGTACCTTTTCGTACCTAGTTGCCCCAGGCCCACAGCCCCGCCACCCTGGTCTCAGCAGTTGGACCCACCGCCATCCCTAGGGTGGGGACCGCTTTTCTTTTGGGCATTTCACACACCAAGGGATCTCACTTCTTTCACTTTCTAAAACAGCAAGGCTATCATCAGCTTTTTCTAAGGAACCTATCTTGAGGTACATGTGCTACAAAGAGCTGTCTGGCGAGGGGCTTCTTATTTGCAGTGTTTGCAGATTTCTCCTGGTTTCCATACTCCCAACGGGGCTCTTTGCAGGCTGCCGACTTGCTATCACTTGTCATGGAATGGGAAAGAGATGCTAGCCGTTGATTCTCACTGGCTGGTGTGAACTGGCTCCAAAGCACCTCTGCCTTAGAGCCTCTAGGGTGATTTACCCCCCCCCAAAGGTCATCGCAGTAGATTTCTGCACCCCTATGCCAGAGCAGAGATAGAAAAAAACCCAAGTTCATTTTTCAGCACAACGTTTGGTTTTCAACTTCCCTTCATAAAGCAGTCAGCTCATAAGCATCATAAAGCAAGCGCTGGTTGAGGCAATCTTGACACGCCTGAAATAGAAGCTCATATGCAAAAGAGACACTTGACACTGTCTTGTCTTTGTAGGTTGTTAGATTTTTCAATCAGGTTAAATTCAAAGGGGAGAAGAGGGCTTTTAATTGTTAGAGATTGAGATTTTTATTTTGTAAATTTCGCCAAACCATCATGTACTATACAAGAGAGCATTCTCTGCGTTGTCTTTTCATGATGTGGCATTGTTCTCATGACATTTTAAATTCATACTAATTGTCATAGCTTTCTCAAAAGCTGGTGGGAAGCTGCATAAAAATTTAAATAGAAACCAATTGATGAAGTTCCATTTTTTTTTGTTTTGTTTTGTTTTGTTTCCTTAGGTGCAAAGGAGAAGCCAAAAGAGAGACAGATACAATGGATACCTTTGTGGATTCTGCCTGGTACTACTTCAGATACACCGACCCCCAGAATACACAGAGGTAAGTGAGGCCCTGCTGAGGTCTTGGAGCCTGGGCCAGCCTGGATCCTCTGAGAATTCCTGCAAGACAGAATCAGATGAACATAAGACTTGTTGGGGAAAAGTTGGTGACACACGCAGGGGTGAGGGGCATATGTCAGCAGGGAACCACAGAGTTGGTGGGACTCCTGCGGAAGGAGAGGGTGAGGAAGGAGGACTGGTGGAAGAGCCTCAGCCAGCCAGTGCAGCGCTGAGAAGGCTCACCCAGGACGAGGGGACCCTGAGCAAAGCTTGTGCTTTAGAGTCCCCAATTGGGCAGAAATGCCTCTGCACGGTGCCCCCCCCCCATCTCCCCTAAGCCTGGGCACAAAGTGGATTTGGAGAGGGAACAGCTGGAGGCTGGAGGTCAGCTGTGCACCTTGAAACAGACTTGGCAGAGGAGTGTGTTCAATTATTAAACTGGATTATTCACAGCCAAGTAGATTCCCAGTACACGAAAAATGAAAACAGAAAGGAAGGAAGTGCTGCTGTGACTTGCGCTGGCCCCTCAGTGATCTGTGTTTATACAGTTGAAAGGCTGTTACATTATTTACTTGTCTGAAAATAAGGATGTAGCTGTCCAGGGAGCGAGGAGGGAGGAGAGCCAAGATGGGTCACCGCTTAGCACCTACATTGGCAGAAGAGACTGCAGAAAGAATTAGAAGATGCTGAGGGGCGGGGCTCAGTGAGGGAATGGCACTGGAGACCACTGTCCAATGGAAAGTGGAGACCACTTTGATTTTTCAACTGTGTGCTCGTGTTCCTTTGAAATAAATAAATGAACAATAAGGGAGAGAGAGCAGTAGGCAGAATGGAAGTAGGGAGAGGAGAGGGCGACCAGAAGTGGTCCCAGAACCCAGAGCAGCGACATACACTGAACTTCAAAGGCCTTGCCAGCTTGCTGGAGAACTATTGTGCTGTAAAACAACATGTTTCCAGTGTGATGGGTGCCCCCGCCCGCCCCTGTCCAAACCACGCCCTGAGCACAGCATTTCCGCAGTCTGAGTTCAGGCCATCCAGGAATGAGTGGGATCCCCAGTAAACAGTAGCTGAGACAGGCAGAAAGCGCTCAGGCAGCCCCAGCTAACCAACCCACAGAGGGGTCTCTCTCCTGGATCTTCTTTCTAGAAAGGTCTTTGGTGCATCTCATATAGTGGTAGCTTGTCTAGAAGGCAAGGGGAGTCGGGCTTTCTACCCCCCAGAATGGTCCAGGGACAGCCTCCTTCCAGTGACAGAGACTAACTTACATGAGAGACCCTCAGCTGGTGAGAGACCTGAGACCTTAACGTCCAGCTGGGGACACCAGGTAGCACGTCCGGCCCTCACGAGCTGCTGCTGTTCCTTTCACTCCGACTTGACTTCTCACCAGAGTGGCTTCCTCAGTGGGTCCTTCCTTTCAACATGACGCTCCTTAATTTACCCCAAACTGGTTTTGGGGCCGAGAGCCATCCTAGTCTTCCCTTTAATTCTAGCCACTTGGTGAGCAGTTGGACTTCCTTAATGAACCATTCGTCACAAAGGAAATTTTTTTTTGAAATTTTATCAGAACGTCAGCCTCAGGAGTGGAGGAGAGAGGACCAAGCCGCACTAAGCTGCCGAGGCACACTGGTTGGCCAAGCCTACCTGGTGAGGCCAGGGAAAGAATTCAGAAAAGTGCCTTGAGGGCCCAGGGAGCTGACCCACATGGCGCAGCAGACCTCTCCCATCCTGCCCGCTGCTCCCCTCAGCGGTGTACTCAGTAGATATTCTGTTGTTCTGCTCCCCACTCTGTCTCCGGTGAATCCTCTTACCCCGGCACTTCTGGCCTACACCCCAGCTCTTGCATGCACACATAATAAGATACATCTTTAGAGGTTGGGGCATCATTTGAAGTCCTGAAGTACAAATCCTCCAACAGAGGAGGTTTGGTTCATGGACCTCAGTGAGGGTATTTTACCTGAGTGCTGAAGAGGGCTGGCCTCAACCGCACGTCCTCTCCCGCAACACCCACCCGCATCCGCCCTCACAGACATCCACCTCAAGAGTCCTCCCAGAAAACAGAGGAAAGCCTGTTTTCTCTCCTCCTCAGCAACCCTAGGAGCTGGTACATGAGGGCGTCGCCTCTCTGATCTTTCTCTACTAAAATGCAGCCCTTAGGTAATGGGTTGGGCTGTTTCATGACAGTCACCCTAAATATGCCCAGTGTGTTCCGGAGGCCATGTACAGGCTGACCTCTGCATTTTTTTTTTAATATTTATTTATTTATTCGTACTGGGGTACAGGTCAGAGATGCAGAGGGTGAGAGGATTCACCAGAGACAGGCAGATCGCCACGGGGGAGCAGCGGGCGGGTCAGGGGAGGTCTGCCGCGCCATGTGGATCTCCTCCGGGGCAGGCGGGAATCGAACTCATGAGGAAGTGGCTTAAGCTTCTTAGTGCTGTGCTTTTAACCCCTGCGCCACCAGGGAGGGCCCACCATCTGCATTTTAAGACAAGCGGGAACACAGTTTTAAAAATGAACATTTAGTGCCGGCATGTTCGTCTCCATTATAAATGTCACATCGCCCTCTACTGGCACAAACACAAAAATCTCAGTTAACTGTAAAAAGAATTAAACCTAGATATCCAACTGTGCATGGCACTGAAATATTTTGTTTTGCTAGTATGGTTAGTATGGTTTCCTCTCCACATTTTATATGAAAATCTCATTTGTGAAAATACACTTCTGAGGCAGTTTTTATAAACCTCATACCTCAGTACCGACCTGATTTTCCCCCTCCTTCATTATATAAGCTTTACTCTTTGTATTTTGAAAAGCAAGCCATGTTCTCCGACATAATTTATCTGGGCATGTGCCAATCACCGCAGGTCTGTCTAATTCATGCAACTGTGGCAAAGCCGGCTGTGCAAAACGACCCTCCCGCTCTCTTGCAGCCCTTTCAGCGCAGCGCTGGCTGACTACTGGATGCCTGTGGATTTGTACATCGGAGGGAAAGAGCACGCTGTCATGCACTTGTTCTATGCAAGGTTCTTGAGTCACTTTTGCCATGATCAAAAAATGGTCAAACACAGGTAAGCATCTATACTGCCTGGGGAAAGAATTCCGTTCCAAGAACTTAAAGCCAGCATCTGTCCTGGCTAAGGCAGGTATGTACCAGAATCCTTTTTTTCAAGTGTGCGATCGAGGCCATTGTCAGTCTTAACCATTTGAGGTCTGTTCCTGTTGCTGAATCAGTTCCAAAAGCTCTCGTTGCTGCCCCACCTAACACTTCTAATCTTCAGCCCTTTTCTGGTTAAGTGAGGGAAGTCGTCAAGACTCACTCGTGAGCGAGAGCAGGGTGGCTTAAGATGTCATATGGCTTTTTATAGCTTCTCATCTGAGGTCGTCGTGTTTATCACCTGGTCCCTCTGGGTAAACTCCATTGCTGAGCTTGATTGAACCCTGTCTCAGTATGTTACTCTGATGAAACCATGTGATGGCTTTTAAGCGAGGGAATCACTTTGTCAATCAGTTGATAAAATCTTTTTCCTGTTGAATTATCATGTTTGCCATTACATCCTGAAAAAAACATATGTTTGCTTATATGTGTACATTTTCCCCATAATATATATATATTTGACTTATTGTGCAACTTAAAAAAATGAAATGGACACCCATGCACCCCCCCTTTCTCTGTTTAAGCAGCACGTACGGCTCCCCTAGAATCCCAGGGGCCGGCTCTAATCAGATCACCCCACACCACTATTCCGCCCTAACTACCTTCTAGCCCAAATTTGGAATCACTCATTTTCTTTATAAATGTGTCCCCTTTGTGGATATTTTTAAGCGACCTATTAGTTTTCCTGTATTTGAACTTCCCATGAGTAGAGTCACATTTCATTATTCTGCTTTAATGTCCTCAGCCACCCTTCTTGGGGCTCCTCTCCGCTGCTGTGTGGCGTGGTGTTTCAGCCCCCTCCACTGCTGTCTGGCTCTCCATTTACACAGCGGGGTCTCTATCACAAACTCAGGCTTTGTGTCTGTAACACCAGGGGCCTTCTCTGTGCAAGTGAACGTTGCCGAACGTGTTAGTGTTTCTCTGGGTGTGTACCCACGAGCACAGCTGCTGGAGGCGGGGTACCCCGTGCTCTGCTTTACCAAGGAACACCAGGCTGTTTTCCAAAGCGGGAATGTAAGCCTGCACTTGCACTGCCAGAGCCGAGGGCGCCCGGCTCTCTGTACCTTCATTGCGACATCTCAGTGTTATCCAGCCGTTGTCGTTTTGATAAACTCGTAGCTATATAATCACTTTGTGGGTTAAATTTGAATTGAAGATGCTGCTTATTTATGAAGTTAGCCTGGCTTTAGTTATTTTGGGATCCCTGTGTCTCCTCTTCATTAAATCTGTTTCTCTCCTTACCTTTACTTCCTCTATGCTGTCTGTCTTTTATTGATTTGTAAGAATTCTTTAACTACTCTGGGTCCTAGTCCCTTTTTAGTTATTTTTGCCCAGTTCTTAGCTTATCTTATTTTTATGGGTGTCTTTTAATATAATAAATTTTAATCTTCCTTTATGGCTGTTGCTTTTAATGTCCCGATGCCATTAATGGAACAGGCCTGACGTCTCCTCATTGACCTCTGGTGCCCACTCTGTCATCAGTCAAGTTTTCACATATAGGCAGGGGCCTAGTTTCTTCTGTCCTTTGGTCCATTTGCTCTTTGCTATACTGATAATTTACTGGTCTCTGTTATTTAAATTTACAAGCTTAATACCCAATACAGAAAGTTCCCCTACTTGAGTCTTTATAGCCTTGGCTATATTGGGCCTTTGCTCTCTCATATAAATTTCAGATTCAGCTCATTAGTTCCAGAGAAATCTCTATGGCGAGTTTAATTGGAATTGCATCAAATCTACATGTTTATGAATGTCTTTTCTCACTCTACATCTTGCATCTCTGACCTTAACATCTGAAATAACTTTCCTTTTGTCTGGAATGTCTCTCATACCCTTTAGTAAAGTATATCTGTTATGTATCTAAAAGTACCTTAATTTCTACCTCACCGTCTTAGCATTTGCCAGCTCAGTGACACATTGAAAACAGTATTTTGACCTGTATTTTCTGGCTATTTCATTTGTTTTTCATCAGAACAATAATTTTGGCTCCCCTGCCTGCTGGACTATCAGGAACATAAATCCTGGGGTTCCCCACCCACCAGGTTATTATGTTGTGTGTTTGTCTTTTGTTAATATACTGTCTTTTGCGATTTTGTAATTGCAGAGAAGGAAAGGGGAGAAATAGCTGACTATCTCCTTATGTAAATAATCCAAATTGACAATAAAAAGATAGTACGAAAGTTGTACATATCTGACATGACAGGTTTCCAACTGCACAGAAAGTGAGCATTGAAATCGCCCCCTCTACCACACTCTCCGCCCGTTTCTTCTTCCTGTTAACGATTTCTTGACTTCTTCCATGAAACTATGCTGCATGTCTCCATGTCTCTGTTGGTATCGTTATTTAACACATGTTACATACATGTTTTTTGCTTTTTCTCTAATCCTGCATTTTGGTGCTCTTTCCATGTTGGCACATACAGATCTCCCATTCTTTTCCATTTACAGGCGCGAGTCCATCATATGAGTTTACCAGAATTTAGTTGAACATCTGTTTTTCCAATTGCTATTACAGGGGAAAATTGGTCCAGTGACTATATTCTTAAGAAGAACTGGGGTCCCTGTCTGTAGGGTCAAGTCCTGCCACCAGGGTGCAGGGACAAAAGATGTGTTTATGTCCTTACAGTTAGGGGAGAGGAAAAAATGCATTGCTCTCAAACCCCTTTGAGGCCCATTAAGCAGAAAAGAAGCAGCGAGGCAGTGCTCTCCCTCTCCCCTCAGACTGCCCCCTCCCTTGCGTGAGTGCATGCTTGGAATAAAAGCGTGCCCTACAGAAAGCTAATTAGGATAGAAATGAAATCCTTAAAAATAATCTTCTCATTAGTCCCAGGGGACTTCATGTGTAACAATTAAACTGATCCTCATCACAAGGGCACTAAACATACTGATAGCATTAATCTCAGGTAAATAAATCAGTGAAAATGCTTGTACCGTGGTTTATTGCATTTACTATTCTGCCTCACATTTCTTACCTAGGGAAACTTCTTGGACTTACTTGATAAAGATACCCACTGGGGGGAAATTGCACCCTGTTACTCGCACAATCTAGTGCACTTTTTGGGTGGATCAAGAGTTTTATCTCTTTATGATATAAACAGAATAAAATTGTTCTCAAAAGAAATCGTCTCCGTGGGCTCAGGAGAATCAGTAGAGGTTAAGTTCAAAGACCTAACACTACATGAGAGATAGTTCTGTCTTATATAGGTCTTGAAACAAAAACCTCAATGGATATCCTGCCCCTTAACAGTAGGATGCATTTCTACAGCTTTTGAATAATTATTTGTAGAAGTAGCAAATGAATCAATCAATTATTCAAAGAGAGACTATGTTAAGGTACAGGGAATGATATGACTGCCTTTATGACTTTTTTTTGCAATGGTTTAAACTATAGTTGAGGAGAAATACGGTTTCCAGCATTCCTATATAATTCTGCTTGGGGCCTGCTTTTGTTTCTATTCAAATTAATTTTTAATTTGCAAAGCTTCCATGCATACCCAGAATTTGCTTTAAGGAACAGCTTTATGATGTAACTTGAAATGTATGCAGTTTTTAAAAATTCTTTCTGGGGGGGCCCTCCCTGGTGGCACAGCGGGTTAAAGCACTGCACTAAGAAGCTTAAGCCACTTCTGCATGAGTTCAATCCCCACCTGCCCCGGAGGAGATCCACATGGCGCGGCAGACCTCTCCTGGCCCGCCCGCTGCTCCCCTCAGCAGTGTACCTAGTAGATCTGCCTGTTCTGTTCCCCACTCTGTCCCTGGTGAATCCTCTCACCATCCGCCTCTCTGGCCTGTACCCCAGTTCTGTACGAATAAATAAATCTTTAAAAAAAAATTCTTTCTGGGATTCTATCCCTTACTCCCCCATCCCTCTTCCCCTCCCCCCCCCAAAAAAAATATTTATTTTAAATACTCCAAAGGCTGCTCTTTCTGGAGAAGGTGCAGAGGTCATCTTACCGCCTCAGCATAGCTGGGGGAGTTGTTCCTATTAAACCACACAGGGCAGCAACAACCTCTGAAAACTCTCTCTGAGCCTTCACCTCTACCAGAGGCGTTTTGGGAAACTAATCGGCCGCAAACGAAATGAAAACCACCTACTGTCTGTGGTGATTCAGAATTCTCCAATTAGAAATCTTGAAAGCCTCCATGCAGCCTTCTCAAGCAGGCCTAGGCAGGGAATTGAGACCTGTGAGCCACGTGCACATTGTCTCTCCCTGCGTGCACTGGCTAGGTTTTCTGGAATGTGTGTCAGTCAGAATTAAAATCTCCGTAGTCCTCTAAATCGACATTGTCCTTTTTGAAGGGATTTGAGACTTCGGCTTTTCCATGGTTTTTCTCATTTCTCAGCCCAGTGACCACTGTCACAAGTGGTAGACCTGTCCCAGACCCCACTGGGCCAGTAATTAGCACTGTGGGCAGGAGACCTGCCCCTTTGGTGCTCAGTAGCCTGGGGCTGGGAATTCAGTCATCTCTGTGCACTCATTTCACTTTACACCATGACTCTGGTTAAATGTCTTCAAATATAAACAGCAAAGGCTTGGGTGGATCTCATCATCTTCCCCACTTTTCGAAGCGCCCTGGCCATTTCTTTCATCGCTGCACATCTGGCTTTGCAGTTTGAGCTTTTCGATGGTCTCTTTACCCGTATGAGAAGCTGGTTGGATGTACCCCATAGGGAACCACCATGCCTTCCGGTGTGTCCGAGCTCCCAGGGTAGTGATTGATTGCCAGCAGGTAATTTGCAAAAGCAGGTATGCAGAGAAATACAAATGAAACAGCAGTCAGGTGCATTTCCCATAGAGCAAAGAGGCTGGGATTCTACCCTGCGGGAAGGCAGTCAGGAATATGCTTTATCAAAAGCACTTTGATAATATATATTGAGAGCCAAAAAAACAGTCACACTTTTGAACACACTAATTG